AATAAGATATAACTATCAGTTATTTTCATGAATTACCCGGGGACATGAGTAATATACCGCACAAAAACAGTATAGTACCCCACGATGACCGCATGCTGCTTCCCGTTGTGGCGAGGGTGAATGTGTGGGGGCTCCCTCAAAGGGTTACTGTGGGAGGTCTGGTGACAGGTCAGCGCCATCCCGATGGGTTCCCCACCCCCGCCCGCGGACAGGCCCGGGAGAAACGGACCGGGCGAGGTCACGGTGTGCCCCACCCGGGCAGATCACCCGGACGGTGCGTGTTGGGGGGCGGGAGAAAACGGGACAGGGAGGGGTCAGAGGTCAGGGGCCGTGGGCGCGCTCACCACTCCGACCAGGTCCCCGCGGCCGTACTCGCCCACCAGCTCCTTCTTGCCGCTGCCGCGCTGGATGACGCTGCGCAGCCGCCCGTTGAGCACGATGTAGGTGCAGTCGGAGCGGTCGCCCTGCCTGGGTGGGGTGTGCGTCATGCGGGCTCCCGCCGGTCCGAGGCCGGGCCTGGGCGGCGGAGTGGGGGAGGGGGGCGGGGGGCGGGGCGGCACCTGTACAGCGCGCGTCCGGCCTCCACGGCGGTCCAGTCGATGGCGAAGTCCATCTGGCGCACGAAGGGGGACATCCTCGCCGCCACCGTGTGCGCGGCACTCAGCACCACACTGGGCTGTGCGCGAATGATCCTGCAGAGGCAGGACGGGGAGCAGGGGCTCGGGGTGTCCTGGAGCTGCCCTGAGGGAGGTGGGGCTGGAAGGGCCCAAAGCCCCCCTGTTCAGGTGTAAGCCTTCAGGGGCGTGGTTTCTCCCTGGCAGAAGGGAGTCAGGGCCCCCCAACACAGGGCCCAGTCATACTCATAGAAGTCGCTCTTGGAGATCCGCAGGAAAGTGCAGTCCCGCTGGGCTCGCAGCGTGAAGATGAGGGGCTCCCCGGTGAGCACAGCCAGCTGCCCGACCAGCTCACCCGGCTGTGCTACGAACAGGCACACGTCCTCAGCCTTGTCGATCATGCGCTGGTAGACGTGCAGGCAGCCCCAGAGCACAAAGTGCAGGCTCACATCCTACGGGCAGGCACCAGGAGATGGGCACAGAGCCAACACTTCCACCCCAACTCAGGTCAGTTCACCCACCGGAAGCAGAGGAGGAGGTGAAGGCTTTGCACACACACACACACACATCTCCATATTATTCAGCTCCCAGGGCAGACATTGCTAATGGATCACCAAACTCTTAAGCCCAGATTATGGCCCATGAATTCTTTCCAACACAGCCAGCAAGAGGCTGCAAGCATTGGCCAAGTAGGGGGTGTGGCTTCAATCCTCTTTGCTCTTCTGGGCAATTGGATAGCCGCAGGGAAGAATAAAGTTGGATCCTCACCTTACACCACATCAAAATGGATTAAAAACATGAATGTAAGAATTAAAACTATAAAACTCTTCAAAGAAAATACAGGGATCCATTTTCATGACCTTGAATTTGATAATGGATTTTTGTTGCATAAGCAACAAAATAAAACTTTTGAACTTCAAAGGACATTATCAAGAAAGTAAATGGACAAGTCACAGTACGGGAGAACATATCTGCAAGTCATATGGCCTACTAAGGGTCTTGAATTCAGACTATATAAAGAAATCTTATAACTCAATAATAAAACAAATAACCCAATTTAAAAATGGACAAAGGATCTGAATATAAGAGAGATAAGCACATGAAAAGATCATGACTCATTAGGGAAATGCAAATCAAAACCAAAATGAGATGCCACTTCACACTCACTAGGAGAGCTAGGATCAAAAAATGTTAAAGAGCCGAAACCGGTTTGGCTCAGTGGATGGAGCGTCGGCCTGCGGACTGAAGGGTCCCAGGTTCGATTCCGGTCAAGGGCGTGTACCTGGGTTGCAGGCACATCCCCCGTAGGAGATGTGCAGGAGGCAGCTGATCGATGGTTCTCTCTCATCGATGTTTCTAACTCTCTATCTCTCTCCCTTCCTCTCTGTAAAAAATCAATAAAATATATTTAAAAAAAAAATGTTAAAGAGAATGTGGAGAAACCAGAACCTCATACATCAGGTGGGCAGGGAGAGGACAGGGTGCAGCCACTGGAAAACGGTCTCAGAGAGTTAAAAGCAGAGCTGCCGTATGACCCAGCCATTTGACTCCTAGGTATCTACCCAACAGAAATGAAACTCATGTCCACATGGACATGTGTGCGTAAGTGTCCATAGCAGCATTATGCATCATAGCCAAGAGGCAGAAAATAACCCAGATGTGCATCACCAGAGGAATGGATCAGCAAAAGGCCGAATGTCCACACAGTGAAACGTTATTTGGACATAAAAAGGAGAGACGCACTACACGTGCTTCAGCAGGACTGAGCCTTGCAAACATGATGCTCAGTTGGAAGCCCACAGAGCATGTGATCCCATGTACATGAAGTGTCCAGAACAGGCCAATGGATAGAAGTAAGACTAGAGCTGTTTAGGGCATGGGGTGGGTGGGTGGGTGAGGAGGCAGGAGACTGACAGCTACAGTGTATGGGATTTCTTTTCAAGGTGACAAAAACGTTCTAAAATGGACTGTGCAACTCTGTGAATAAACTAAAAACCACCGAAGCACACTCTTTAATGGGTGGACTGCACAGCATGTGAATTATATCTCAATAAAACTATCACCAAAAATGAAAAATCCCCTGTTCCCCGTTCCTTGTTCCCCTCCATGCCTGCTGACATCCTTGGTTTCTAGAAAACGACGCATTACTTCTCACCCAGCAAGTAATTGGCACAAGCGTTCCCTCTGCTCAGAATGCTCTTTCCTCCCCTTACACTTCCCTCCCTCCCACCTCCTTCTTAGCTGCAGGTCACGTCCTCAGAGATGCTGCCCCCGAGCCAGAGTCTGTAGGGCCGAGAACAGCTCCTCCTATCTATGCACTAAGCACATAGGGTCTTACGTCCTCTGAATGGAATGTCCGTCAGAACTGTGGGCTTCGCAGGGGCAGAGGCCTGGTTTTTCCGCCTCTGCAGCTGCTACAGGGGGCCTGGGACATCTGTCCAGCAGGACCTGAGACACAGCAAATACTAAGTACGAACAGGTGCCCCTCTCCTTCCTCTCTGGTTGGCCTGCCTCCCCGGACACCTCCCTTTTCCAACCTTTGATAAACAAGGAAGTGAAACCACACAGATATGGACAGATTTCTTCTTCACCCAACATAGCAACCTGTCTGGCACCTCACAAAGCTCCAGTGAGCACCAAAACACTGCAAGGACCCCTGGGAGGGCCGGCCCCGGAGACACACACGCGCTGGAACCGCCTAAGACGATTTCTGGCTGGGTCTGGGATGTGAATGGACGTTACTGACATGAGGCTGCCATTTGCCACCAGGTCGGGAAGCAAGTTTCTCTACTGCAGGACTCCTCAGAGCCATAAATATGCTAACGTTGTTCAATGGACTTCCACAAAGAGATACAGCAGCCGGCGTTTCCCAAACCTATTGGCCGCGGAACCCTTGTGGTGCAGGTGTGTCACGAAACACACTTTGAGAAATATCTGTGCAAAGCAGAGTTCTCAGCCTTGGCGTTACTGACATTCTGCTGGGGGGCTGTCCTGTGTGTTCTCGCATCCCTGGCCTCGAACCATTAGACGCCAGGAGCACCCTCCCAAGTCAATAAAAACGCCTCTACATTACCAAATGTCTGCTGAGGGCAACGTTCTCCCAGGTGGAAAGCCATCAGTGTGACATTTCAGAGAGAGGCACAGTCACATCCCTAACAAAGCTCCTGAGAAGACCCCGAGCGATCCATTAGCATCCACGGCTGCATTGAGCCCAACAGGGTCTCCCAGGTCAGCAGGGCCCAAGTGCCCCCGCAGGAGCCATGGTAGGACCGCACTTTCTCAGCTCATTCCCCAAAACCACAAACAGCTGGCAAAAGCATCACCCAACTCCCTCTGCAGAAAGGAGCCCAACCCGGCAGTAAGCAGCTTTGGGGCGACAGCTGCATCAGCCAGCCAACAGGCCAGGCGCCCCACATTCCGCCCAAGCAGTGCTCAGTCCCGGTACCTATGCCATGCTGCCCTCTGCGTCACCCTGAGCTGCTGCTCCACACCCTTCCCTGGGCTTGTCACCCTTGCAACCCTTAGGCAGCTCCGACTACTTCCTCTGTCACGCTGCTGGCAGTTCCTGCAGTGCTTCCACCCACAGATGAGGAAGCAGAGGACTTCCTAGATGACGTGCCCAAGATCACACAGGGCATCTGGCCAGAGTCCGGGCTTTAATCTAGCCCCTCCCTCCAGAACCCCCTTCCTGTGCTTCCTGATATGAGATCACGGCCTCAGTGCCCCCAAACGGAGACTAGAGGGGTTCATGGGGCAGTTTCCAAACCTCCAGGTGCTACCAGCAGGCACTGAAGTCCAGCTCCTGGGGCCAGTTCATGGCCTCTGGGTCCTGATTCCAATTCGTACACATTTATCAACTGCCCAGCAGGGGCCAAAACCATCAGGGTGTATTACAGAACCAAAAGCTCAGAAAACAGGTTGCAGGAAAGGCCAAGGCAGGCAACAGATCTAGGGGCTGGGGTCTTAGAAAAAAGTGTTGGAGGTCAGAGACTGATTGGTCCAGAGCAAGCATGTTAAACTCAAAGGCTAACATGGGCCAAATAAACAAGGCCCATGGGCCGAAAGTTTGACATGCTTGGTCCAGAGGATAAGGGGTGCGTGAGCTGGGGGTCAGTCGTAGGATCCGAGGGTCAGGGACTGGAAATCATAGACTAAGAGTTTTACATGTGGGGTCAAAGAACAAGGATCAGAGACCAGAGGGGTCTCAGGTCACAGTTGTATGTTTAAAGGTCAGGGGTCAGCCTCACCTGGTCCCCCTGGCGGGCGATGATGGTGCCGGCTTTGGCATGATGTAGCAAGACTCGGCTGTTCAGGAGGGAGGGGTCCTAGGGAGGGACGGAGGTTGAGACTGGTCCAGCCAGGCCCGCCCCCCGCCGCCTCCACCTAGTCCCCCAGCTCCTGGGCCAAGGCCACCCACCTCAATCCGCATCAACTTGGCCAGCTCCCGCTTTGCCGCCTCAAAGATGCTACTGGTCTGGCGGCCCTGGTAGGGCCCGAAGGGGCAGCCGCCGGTGGCTGACTCATCCTCACAGTAGCTGTACTCGCAGGCACCTGCCGGCTGCTCCCGGGGCTCCTGAGTGGGAGTCTACATGGGACAGGGCCTGTGACCTCCCTGCTCCCACCCAACTTTCCTCCTCAGGGGCCTCCGCCAGGGGAAGGGCAGAGAGGGCAGGGCCTTACCCGGACAGGGACTACCTGGGGCCCCGCTGAAGCCTCTTCTTGCAGAGACACGGAAATCCGGCCACGCTCATATGCCATGTCGAAGTCTGAGCGGGGACCTCCCTGCAAGCCTGCAGTGGGCAGGGGACAATAAAAGCAACAGAGACAAGACTGACCACAACTGCCAACCCGTGCGACGTGACTAACCAATGACTGCACTCCTCGATCCTCACCACAGCTGGGAGGGCATCATTCAATAAGCACCCATGAAAAAGTCAGCAGAAAGTGCTGCCAGGGTTTCCATTTGACAGATAAGAAAAATAAAGACTGGCCAGCCTGCAATCCAACCCAGAAGTTCGATGCCTCCCCCTCCCGGCCCAAGGCCCCAGACCTGAGATGTCCACTGGCATGGAGATGCAGCGGCTCAGCAGGGGGGCCGAGGGGGCTTCCAGGGATGTGGGCTTCACCAGGTCCCCTGAGGGAGACATGTGTTCAGGCTCCTACCACTGGGGGTGGGGAACTGAAGGGGGCCTGGGGAGCAGTCAACTCAGAGTCCCTGGGGACTAGGAGACTAGGAAAGGTACTTCCAATGGGTCTACAGCGAGCATGTCAAACAAAGGCTAACACGGCCAAATAAACGAGCCATGTGGCCCGCAGGCCGCGAGTTTGACATGCTTGGTCTACAGAACTGAGGCCACAGGTCCCTGGGGGACCAGCTAAGAGGCCACTGGGGCTCCAGCGTGGGTCATGTCAGGCACCTGCAGGTCCAGGCAGAGGGGCCCCAGTGGGGTCAGGTGGCCGGCCAGGGGCCTCCCGAGGCTCCTCGGTTGCCGAGGTGCTGCCAACACGCTTGGAGCCTCGGACGGGGCTGGTGCGAACTGGGAGGCCGGGGCTGGGGAAGAGGCGCAGGGGCTGGATCTCCTGGGGGCAGAGAGCACCGTTATCGCAGATCCCGGGAGGCAGCGCCGCTGCACCTTCCAACCCACCCCCATCCCGTGCTCTCTGAGCGACTCACATGGCTGAAGAGCTCATTGGTCAGACCCAGGTAGTTGTGGAGGGCCAGGAAGGTGACTCGCTGCAGCCTCACCATGATGATCTGCAGGGGCGTGGTCAGCAGGGGCGGAGCCAGAAGAGGGGTAGGGCCAGGAAGCAAGTGAGACAGCAGAGGGGCCAAAGAAAGTTGAGAGGGAGCATTAAAGGGGTGGGGCCACAGTGGGGAGGAGGCTGGCTGGAGCCAAGACCAAGGTTGGGAGCACTGAGGGGAGAGCAGAGCCACAGAGGCTCCAGTGAGGAACCCACATGAGGTGGCAGAAGCCTGGGGAGATGGGTCAAGACAGCTAATGGGAGGAGTCGGGCAGCACAGGGTCTGGCTGCTCAGGGCTAACAGCACAGCCTGAGAGACTGCTGGGTCCCAGCCCGCGGGCGCCTGTGACGAGGGAGGGGGACGGCCTGCTGACCTGCACCACCCGCACCAGGCTCTCGGGGTACTTGGTGAAAACTGCAGAGAAGGCCTCCACCGGCAGCCGCAGTACAGTGGAGTCTCGGGCTGCGCGGGCAGACACTGTACGCTGGGGGTGCTGGTGACCCTGGGGATGCAGGGATATGAGGAGAATCAGGGTCAGGGGCTGAGAGTCCTCACTGCTCCCCCAGCTCTTCCTAACTCTAGTGCCTGGAGGAACCGCCAGCAGCATCGGGAGACCGGGGCCTCTCCAACCCGGTCCACTGGGTGTGGCGCTGAGCCCCAGCCGCCTTGCCACCCCAAACTGGTCACTCACAGTGATGACATCCAGGATGCTCAGAAGGCTGTTGACACTGTCCCCGGGGACTACCTCCTTCACCACACACTCCTTCCCATCCTGTAACACACGGGGGTGGGAGTCAGGGCAGTGACCAGGGCTGCCAACCAGCATGCCATCTCCAACCACACCACTGGCCCTCACACTCACCCACCCGTGATCACTGATGCCCCGATCTCTGACCCCACCGGACCTTCTGACCAGCACCCACTTCTTGCCCATAACTAACTGCAACCACTGACCACCCCAGATACCCTCGGGCATCTGCTCCCAACTCCTGCCTGCACATCTCCAGACCACCAGCCCTACGACCAACAGCAGTGCCTGTCCCCAGTGGCCACTGCATCACTGCTTGTCTCCCTGCATCCCCCTTCGGGCAGCACGTACAGGCCCTGGCAGGCAGAGCTCCAGCAGCCCGTCCTGCACCACATAGATGCTGGCATCTGGCTGGCCTGGCCGGAAGACGTAGTCACCCTGGCTGAGCCGCTGGAAGATCATGTGCCGGCAGAGCTCCAGGAAGAGCGGCTTCTCGAAGTGGCCCAGCACCCTGTGGGATGGGGGAGGGGAGGAGGAACGCAGGTCAGGTCAGCACCCGGCTCTGCAGCCCCAGCCTGCACTCCGACACTGACCGAACGTTCTTCAGCATGTAGAGCACCTCGGAGGGCAGGTGGGAGTTGGCCAGGTCGCCCTCGGTCAGGTCAGCCTCCAGCACGGCAGGCGGGGGCTCCTTCCGCTGCAGTGTTGGGGTCTCTTTCTGGATGCGGAGGATCCTGGTGGGAGGAGAGAGGTATGGGGGCGAGCAGGGAGAAGGCATGGGCAGACCTGAGAGCCCCATATACCCTTTCTCCTGAGTCACAGAAACAGGGATCAGCAAATTCTGGCCTACTGGCCAAATCAGGCCCCCATTTCTTTTTTGTACGTCTGGCTATTTTCATGCTACAACAGAGTTGAATAGTTATAGCAGAGTTGTATGTGGCCTGCACAGCCTAAGATGTTTACTACCTGGCCCTATACAGAAAAACCCTGAGATCACTCCTCCACTAGTCATAGGCCCCTGAAATGGACCCTCTAGTTAGACCCCTGGCATAGCTTCTAAGACACGGGCAGACTTTAGAAAAAACACCTGTTCGTCATGGGACCCCTGACATAGTCCTTCCAGCAATCACACACCAGACTCCTGAGATAGCCCTTCTAGTGTAGGCAGACCCCTGGCGTAACTTCCATTATATGAGGAGACTTCAGATACAGCCGCTCTGTTCTTTATAAGGTCCCTGAGCTAATCCTTCCTCCCAGGTCTCAGAGAACCCTGAGGCAGCACTCATTCCATGTGGAGAATCCAGGTATAGCCTCTTTGCTATTCATAGACCTGGGAGAGCCCTTCCCCGCATGTCAGTTACTGCTCTGACAGCCTTCACACTGGTCACAAGATACCTGAGATAGACCCTAGTATGAGCAATTCCGAGTTAAATTCCATGATATAGAGAAATCCAGATAGAGCTCCTCATCTGAACAGGGAGGCCCTTGGGCTAGCCCTTCCCCAGGTCAGATTCCTGAGATAGCCCTCTGATGGTCATGACAACATCAGGGCAGCTTTTCAAGGGTGTGAAGACACTGAGATGTGGAGACTCGAGATACGGTATCTGATCATGGAGAACTAGAGACAGCCCTCACAAGTCACAGAAAGTCATATGATAGGACATGTTGGTCATGGACAGCCCTGAGACAGACCTTCATATCTCATGAAGTGGATTCCATGATGTTAGGAGACCCCAGAGCCAGCTCGCAACTTAAAAAGATCCCTGGAAGAGCCTTCCTCAGACCCTGAGGGCGTCCCTGCTAATGACAGGCACCCCTAAATGTCCTTCCTGTATTTCTCGTGCAAGAAGACTCTAGAGATAACTCCCAGGGAACACAATCCCTGACACAGCCTCCTTATGAGGGAAGAACTCCAAGGTAGGTGACATGGAGAGATGTTTTCTGAGGTAGCAAGTCTGCTCAGATAACCCGGGAGAACAGAGCCTACAGATAGCTCTTCCACCTGAGAAAACCCCAACGCGGCACCCCTGTGTGAGGAGACCCATGAAACAGCCTACCTAGAAACCCCAGAGAGAGACCCCACAAGGTGTCAGAGATACTGACGGAAGAGCAAATAGCTCAGAGATAACCTCTAGGGAGAGGCGTGGCTGGGAGGGGAGTATCTCTGAGATAGCCTAGGGGGACGGCCTGTCTGGTGTGAGGCAGCTCAGGGATGGCCTCTCTGATGTGAAGACTCCCAAGATGGCCCACGGGGTAGAAAGAAACTGGAGACACATGGGCTGATCACTCAAACGGCCCATGAGGGCGCCCTGGAGCCAGGGGCACTCCGCACAGCCTTACTTCTTGGCAATGTTCAGCATCTTGAGTTTCTTCTTCATGCGTGGCCTGGAAGCGGCGGAGACGGAGGTGTCCACCAGGGAGGAAGTGGACTGTGACACCTAGCACAATTAAGGGGAAGAACAGTCAGCTGCTAGCTCAGACCCTGGGGACGAGGGGTGTCAGATGCCTAAGTCCTTAACCAAGGAGGACGGGTTTACAGGAGTTGTGACTAAGTGAAGGGCAGGGCTTCTGCGTGGCCAGCGGCAGCCTGTTGGTCCTGGACTCACCTTCCGCATAATCTTCCGGCCATAGAAAAGCACTTTGTCCCTCTTCCGGAATCGGTACCGCGGGCCCTCCGGGGCGGGGGTTTCTAGGATCAGGGGAGGGGGCACTCAGCTCTGCGCAGACGCCACGCGGCCAGAGAGAGAGCAACTGCGTGCAGACCCTAGCCGGTCCAATCCCGACTGCCTCCGGACCCGGCATTTCAGCTCCCCACAAACGCAGCCCTCCCAGAGGGGGCCGCGGGGTCCTCACTCGGCACTCGAAAGCTCCGCACTAGCAGGAGGATGAGCACGGGCAGTGACCAGCACGGCGACTCCGGCCCCGATCATCACGCCCAGCACCTGCGGGACGAATGGCACTTGCTGCGCATCGCAAACCCGCCCCACCGAGCCTCCCCGGGGCCAGGACGTCCTGGACCCCATCCCACTGCGCTACGTCCACACCCGAGACGTTCACAGCGGCCCCTGTCTTCTGTGTCTCCATCTGCAGAATGGGACAGCGCGACTCCCCCCCAGGGCGGGGGTAGGAGGCGGCGCGACTCTTCCCGGCGGCTCTGCCGTCCGCGCGCGGTGCACGCCGGGAAATATAGTTCCGCCTGAACACAGCCCAGTTCTTGCGGCCGCGCTGAGCACGTCGGGAGTTGTAGTCCCCGCTGAGCCTCGCAACCTCGGAGCTTTACCATTCTTGCATGCAGAGGGGCCTCCACCAGCTGTTTCTGGCAGGTCGACAGGTTTGGTAGCCCAGAGTCCTGGGAATCAAGAAGCAGGAGGAACCCGTCACTCTGGGCCCGCCCCTCCCCTGCCACAAGCCCCGCCCCTTCGTACCCGCAGCCTGGGTGGGGGAGAACTAGAGGGGCGCGGCGGGGCCGAGGGGTGGGGCAAATTGACCTCGGGTCGGACTAGGGAGTGAGGCGTGTCTCCGGTCCCGCCTGGCTCTCTTCACTTACGCACCTGGGCGACCAGCCGCTCTACCTGTCCAACCCCCACCCTAGGGCCAAAGGGCTGCCGCCGGGCACCCACTATCAGCAACCAGCGCCCGGGTTCCCCAAGGGCACGGCTCCTTCACGCCGGCCTCTACCCTATGGGATTAATCCATCCTGACCCCCCGCGAAAACTAGAGCCTAAGCTAAGGGGTCGGGGAAAATGCCTGGCTCCTGGCTCAAGCCTGCCCTGGGGCTCGTGGGGGTGCTGCTGGGAGCTCCTACCCTGCTGGGAGCTCCTACCCAAGGGTGAAGCATAGTAACCTCCATCTTGGGTAAAAACTGCTATTCTGGCTTCTGTAAACGTTTGCTTGCTTAAATAATAGAGAAAATAAGACTACTCCCCATTCCAGAGAGGCCATAAACCAGCCGTGGGCAAACTACGGCCCGCGGGCCGGATCCGGCCCGTTTGATATGAATAAAACTAAAAAAAAAAAAAAAGACCGTACCCTTTTATGTAATGATGTCTACTTTGAATTTATATTAGTTCACACAAACACTCCATCCATGCTTTTGTTCCAGCCCTCCGGTCCAGTTTAAGAACCCATTGTGGCCCTCGAGTCAAAAAGTTTGCCCACCCCTGCCATAAACTCTGCCCCAGACAGAACTGTCAGTGCTGAAGCCAGGCCAGGCCTTGAGATATGGTCTCACCGCCCTGTCCCAGCACACAGAACTTTTTCTCTGAAGGTCCAGAAGTCTAGTTCCAAATTTGGAAAACAAGGAGCTGAAAAATATATAAATAAGGGAGACTGCCACCATATTGGGCCCCAGAATTTGAGAAGCAAGAGTTCCTCTGGGCCCGCTAGCGCTGGCGAAAATGACGAGGACTCCAAATAAATTGGGCTTGTTGATGAAGGCGTCTTCTGATTTACAATATAACGAGGGGTCTTGGAGGGTGCCGAGGTCTTGGAAGGGTCCTGGGGCTCGGAGTGAGTGGGCTCCCAAGACCTTACTGGCTGATGCTGGAGATCTACTGTCACGTGATAGTAAACAGCATCCCTGGGACTTCGATGCTGGCGGCATTGCTGGCGACGCCGGGATTACTGGGGACAGTGAAAAACCACTGAGATTCTGAGGACAGAACTATTGCTGGGAAACCCGGGAGCTGGTGCGCACGTCCCTGGGTTCGTTCGGGAACGAGCGCGCCGGCTCCGTGGCAGATACGAGGAATGCTGGAAAATTACTGCGACTTTTCCGAGGCTGCGAATGCTTCTGGCTTCGCTAGAGTATTAATGGGAGTTTAAGGTAATTGGACCCTTGAGACATTACCTGGCAGCTTCAGGGCGGGGTGGGTGGATGGGACTAGTCCCCTCCCACTTTAGGGAACACCTGGCTCCCGGTGCGGAAACACCTGCCGGAAACCGGGGAATGAGCATCGGGAAGTCGGGGGCTACCAGAGGTCGGCGGAGGACATTGGGAAAGCCGAGGACTCGCTCACAACCCCCAAAGGGGGGGACGGAAACCCGGACTCACCCGGAGGCCGCAGCCGGGACGCACTCTGCCAACGCCGCTGGAGTCGCCCCCCAGCGCGGCCCCTTTAAGTTATTCGCCGAAGGCGCTCGAAGCCCCGCCCCGCCGCTGGGAAGGCCCGGGGCCAGGCCGAGTGTGGCGACGCCTTAAAGGGGCTGAAGAAGAGGGGGTCTTGGAATGCACCTCCCGCTAGAAATGGGACCACGACGTGTATTTTCCTTTTTTATTTAACATCCACCCTACGCTTGTCCGACCCGGTGGCCCACGCCTGCACAGGGTGCGAGAGCCAGTCCTAAACGCCAACCCTAAGAATGGCCAGCCCGGCTCTCCGCGGTCCCGGTCCGGGTCCGGGTCAGTTCACCAGCAGCGGTCGCTCCTCCGAGGCGTCCCTGGAGGAGGGCAGTGTCAGGGGGCGGGCAGGCGGCAGTTCCCCGGCAGCCCAGCCCTCCCCGTTCCCGGGGGATCGAACCTGCTCCTGCTCCGGCCGCAGCAGCACAGGCTGCAGGCCGAGCCGCTCCCGCGGCGGAACTTGCCGGAGGTGGGGCTGTCCTGGCACTGCGCGATGTAGGCCTGCAGCTCGCTGGGCTCCACGCCCGTGCTGCCGGGGTGCTGCGGAGAGATGCGGGGTGGCCGGCGTGCACGGGGCTCCTTGAATCTGCCCTCCCCCACCTCCTCCTCCGCCATCTGGGTCTCCTCGCTGTTCCGAGCGGCTCCCACCTCTGGGCCCTTGTGCGTCAAGGTCTGACTCCAGGAAGACCTCCCCGACTCCTGGATGCTGGGATGTGCGACCCCGCCCCTGGGTCAGGTGGCGCCCATCTACTCCTCAGTGCGTGGACACCGCAGCGTTCAGCAAGCCCAGCCTTTGCCCTCGGCCTCGGAGGGAGCCACCATCTCTTCCCCAAGTTCCTTCTGGCTACGTGGCCTTTGCTCCAGGTGCTCCTTCCCCCTGGTGCTCCCTCTCTTGGGATCCCACCTCTCAATCTAGAACTTTCTGAGATGACGGAAAGGTTTGATTCTAGGGTGTCCAATCAGGAAGCCGCTAGCCACATGGGCTCCTGGGCACTTGATGTGTGGATGGTGTGAGTGAGGAACTGAATTTTGGAATTGTATTTCATTTTAATTAAAATCAAAATTTAAATAGTCCCATGAGGTTAGAGGCTCGTATTGAACAGCACATTCTAGAGACTTTGCTTGCTTCCTAGCTCTCACCGGCAGTGATCATACTCCTGCTCATGCATTATCCGTCTTGCCCACTAGCTCTGGGCAGCCTGTGTACACCTCACCTTGTTTCCTAGAGGCCTGGCCCAGCACAGGGCTTGGCTCACAACAGGCCCTTGGACACGTTGGCTAAAAGAATCCTGCCTACCTGCCACCCGCACATTCTGCTCTGCCCCCACTGTCTGCCCCCCACAGGACAGAGGGTCAGGAGCAAGGCTTCCTGGTTGGGCCTGGTTTCACCCCTCAGTTGCTGACCTTGGTAAGTCACTGAAACTCTGCGACCTGGTGTCCCTATTGGTAAAAGCCGACTCGAGAACCCTACCTGGCCGGAGCTCACCTGATCAAACTGAGAAGGTGGCAGGTAAGCCATGACATCAGTCCCACCTGTGACCCCTAATTTCCAGCCACCATTTCCTTTGGCTTTGCAGAGCCTCCCACATTCTCTCCCTGGGTCCTTCTCTCCTCACCCTGCCATGTCCTCTGAGACCCCCCCCGCCCCCCCCCCCCCCCCCCCGTGGTGGCCTCCAAGGGACACGGAGCCCCGGTTGGAGCTGTGTGATGTGCGTTGGCCCCATGGGGAGGCAAGCTGGAGGGGAGGCGCGGCTGACCTTGATGGCGTCATAGGCACCGGTGATGAGCGCGATGAAGAGGCTCAACACCATGTAGATGAAGAGGCTGATGAAGGAGTAAAGGTAGATCTGGGAGAAGAGCCAGACGAGGCTGCTGCGGCCCTGCTGCGTCTGCATCGCCGCAAACGTCACAAACATGTCATCCCCATTGATGAGCGAGAACAGGCACTCCGACACCATGGACAGCGAGCGGAACTGTGGCCAGGCAGTGAAGTCAGTGGGATTGTAGGGAGGGAGGGGGCTGGGCGGGGGCACCAGGAGTCAGAGGGGACAGCAGAGTACTAGTAGTTACAATGGGGCCCACTATGCAATGACAGTGCCCTAGAGTCAAGGCCAGGGTTACCAGGGGTCAGAGGGACAGTGGGCAGAATATCAGCAGTTACAATGGGGTCATTTAGAGTCGTCATGTCAATAAGGTCATAAGGCCAGAGTCAGTGGACAGAACCGCTGCAGACCTCTTGGTAAAGGACAGAGGGTCACACAGTGCGTCCAGGTCAGTGAGAGATAAACCAGGCTTGGGACGTGGGCTCGGAGGAAAGGAGCCAGAGAACCTTCACCTGGGGGCCGTGCACCCCACAGCCCCGCTGGTCCCTACCTTCACGTGGTAGGGCCCCAGCACGATCCAGCCGCAGAAGCAGTAGCCCAGGTAGATGACAGCCACACAGCAGCAGAAGCGCATGACGCTGGGCAGGGCCACCCGCAGCGTGGCAATGAGGATCTGCAGCGGGCAGGTGGCTGATGAGGGCAGGGCCACAACCCTGGCCGTCAGGGCGCACGAGCGGAGCGGGCAGGGCCTGGCTGAGGGCACAGCTGGGGAGCTGAGAAGGGAGCCTGGAGCTGAGGGGGCGGCTCACACGCTCCCTGCTCAGACTCAGTGACAGGTACGGCTGGGTGGACAGGTATACGGCCAAAAGGCTCATGGCGGGTCCTCTGCAGGGGCTGGTGACGGCGCAGGTGTATGAATTTGGGAGGTGGGAACTGGGGGACGTGTGGCTGCCAACCGGAGGGAGGGCCCGGCCTGCGGCCTGCACCCACACAGGCTTACGTTGTACTTGTGGAAGAAGGTCAGGTAGCGGATGACACCGACCCAGACCAGCAGCGTCGAGGTGCCCAGGAGGATGCTGCAGACATCGTAGCTGGCCAAGTTCTAGGAGTGGGAGCAGTGTCAACCACATCTGGCTGGGGAACGTGGCCCCAGGTGGGCATCGGTGGGGGCAGTATAGGCGTCAAGGTCTGGAAGGGGCCGCCGGGGCCCCGGGCAAGGTGTGGGCAGGACCCACCTTAGCTTCAATGCCGATCTTCATGATGGTGCCCGAGATGGTGAGCACATCGCTGGTGACCAGCAGGATGTACCAGCCGTTAACAAATTCCAGCCGCTCCCACAGGCTGATGGCCCGTCCCCGCTGCCGCCACATGAACCCCACAAACTCCTGCAGGAGGCAGGCGGGGTGAGGGCTTTTCCAGGCACGGGAGCCTCGTGCTACCCACAGCCCTTACGGCCCCAGAACTGGGCAAGGCTGGTTTGGGCACGTGTGACGCTGGGATGGCTCTCACGTTCTGCAGCAGGAAGCCACGGAGCAGGGAGCGGGCACACAGCAGGAAGGAGAAGGAGCAGGTGAGGATCACCACCACGTCAAACAGGAGCCGGAAGCTGTTGTCTCCTGTGGGGAGGGGCCTTGGGTAGAGCCGGGGTAGCTTGGGGCCTTCGGAGGCCAGGCTGGGGCCGGGCCAGGCCAAGGGGACTGCAGGGCTGGTTTGGGCTGGTCAGCGGGCTCAAGGCTATTCTGAGTTAGAAGCTCAGTCAGTGTGGGTCTGAGGTTCAGGGATCCTTCGGTAGGTCAGGGTCCCTGGTTGCTGCTGGTCTGGGGTGTTGAAATCCCCGGGTAGGTCAGGGTCCCTGGTCTAGGGTTTGAGGACTCACCATGCCTGAAGACACTGGGGTGCTTACACTCCTGGATGTGGACCTGGGTCTCCAGGCTGATGGGGACACGTCCGCTGAATGCCTTATTGTCAAACGTGATCTGTGGTGGGATACAGAGTGAGCCTGGACGGGCCGGGCTCCCAGACCTGCCTGCAGGATGGTCTGTCTAGCTCCAGGCTCTCAGCACCCACATGCGGCCCTCGGCCACGGGTCCCGAGCCCTGGGGCTCAGAAGTCCTGCTCCCCACCCCAGATCACGGCTGGGTCCATGCTCTTACTCGGGACACCTCGGGCTCACCAGGATGCTGAAGGTGTAGCAGTCGGGGATCTCATTGTTGATCAGGCTTTGAAGGTTGATGGTCTTCAGCTGGAAGTGGATGGTGACGTTGATCAGCCTGAGGGGAGGGGTCTGGTGAGGGGGAGGGAGCTCCACAGCTCCCTCAGGCCCTAGAGTGCCAACGCTCCTGCCCGATGCTGACTCTGCAGCTGGCAGAGGGAAGTGATCACTCAGCAGGCATCCGCCTGGCCCGCCCTGCCCCCACCTTCAGGGAAGTGGCTGCCAGGGGGGCCCCAAGGACACCTGGCCTCCTGCCTCCCCCCGCCCTGGGCAACCCCCTCCATCGGGCAGTACTTGTGGAATTTGAGCGTGAGGTTCTTGTAACTGGCGCTGCCGTCCGAGAGAGAGAAGTCATCACTGGGGGGCACAAAGGGTCTCTCAGGGGGGTCCACCCGGATGCAATCTGAGGACAGGGAGTCAGGGAAGGGGCACAGGATGGGGGAGGCACAGGCAGGTCTCCCAGAGTCCCTGAGAGACCCCTGCCCGCATTCACTTTGTACTTGAGCATTTGTTGTTTGTGCCCCGTTTCCCCGGGGCAGGGCCCAGTATGTCTATTCCCTGAACAGACACTAGGGCCTGGAGCTCTGCAGCCCCTAACTGTTTAGTGGATTAATGATATTAAACATAACACCTGGCTCTTTCTACATGCCAAGCATTCTTCTAGACACGTTGCATACATCAAATTATCAATATTCAAGACAACCCATCTCCTGGATGAGGGTACAGCTGGGATTTTAATCCCAGCAGCCAGGGACCCCCAATAGCTCAGCCCTGCCTTGTCCACTCACCAGTGACAACCATTGGGTCGATGTCAAAGGTGTCATTGGCTGGGTCCACGTGGCCGCGGTGGTAGTACCGCTGGCAGAGGGCCAGGGCTGAGCCATTGGCCCAGGGGCTGCCCCCGCCCCGTACATATGCGTAGTGGCCCAGCGACACATTAGGGAGCATCAGGTACTGTAGGCAGAGAAGGGGAGGGTCCGTCAGCCCCACCACCACCACCTGCCCACCTGCCCTGGCTGCCTGCACCTGCCCTTGGCTGCCCGCACCTGGTCCACAGCATAGAAGATAGCCTGGTAGAGCTGCTCCCGCGTATAGGCGGCGAAGGTGTCATCTGCCCCATCGGAGTAGCCCAGAAGGAAGAGGTGGCGGAAGGCAATGGTGTTCTCCTCGCGGAATGTCACTACCAGCTGGTTGCTGAGCCCAAAAAGGATGAGCTGGTGGGATGACAGGGGGTTGACACTGCTGGGATGGGACCTCCCTCGATGCATGAATGGAGGAAGAGTAGAGGACCCACTCCATGCCCACCATTTGTTCCCAATGCATAGCACACAGTGGCACTCATATATCTCAGGGTAGCAACTAGTGTTCATGAAATGTTTACCTGATGCCAACTTCCATGCTAAACCCAGACCTATAGGGTAAGTACCACAGTGCTGGAACCCTTCCCAAGGGGAAATTAGCAGCACAGTCACATGTCCAAAGCCACAGCGCCCTAGGGCAGGGTCTGATTCATCTGGGGATCACAAGACCCCAGCACAGAGCCTGGCATGGGAAAGGGGGCAAGTATCTGTTCAGCCACCGGGTCAGTTCTCTTTGAGGGTCAACACGGCGCCAGACTGCCTGGGTTCACGTGCCAGCAAATCCCAGTGCCTGGTTGCCATGTGACTTTGGACCAATCCCTTCACCTCGCTGAGCCTCAGCTGCCTCATCTACAAAATAGGGGCCTGTGTGAGGTTAAAAGGAGCTGCTCACCTAGAGCTCAGCGGGTTTTCTGACTTATGACTGCCATTGTTACAGTCATTATGCTGCCGCAGGGTCAGGACGAGGTTCTGACTCCCAGACTCTCCTACAAGGAACACAGTGGCCACAGCACCAGTCCTGCTGGGGCTCCCACGGGTCTCACCTGGACAGTGACTACCAAGATCTTAACCACTTGCAGCATCAGCTTAAAGGGCTTGCGGCCCTTGGCCCGAAACTTGTCACAGGGACTCATAAAGAAGTACTTGAGACGGCGGCGGAGGTCTTCTTCTTCCAGAGGGGCCGGAGGGGCCGGCGAAGCCCCCGCCTGGGTCCCATACCCGGGGCTGGCGGTCGGGAGGTGCTCGGCCTCTGTGGGAATGGAAGAGAGCAGTGGGGACCGGACCCAGGCCGCCTACCTCCCCAAAGAAAGCAGATCCCACATCCCAGCAAGAAAGCATTCTGGGAGATCTCAGAAATCTGAAACCTACGTTTCATGAATATATGCAGCAGTGCGGCTCGGAGGTTGCAAATTCAAGTTTGGGACTCAAAAGGGCCTGAGTTGATACCTGACCCTGATGCTCACAGGCACGGACAGGGCCTCCAGACTCTCTGGGCTCAAGTTCTCATCTGCAAAATGTGGCATAGCATCTCTCACAGGAAGCTGAGGATTTGATGCTTACACAGTCTTTATCACAGGGCTCGTAGTGTGATAAGAATGTCAGGTGGTAAGAATGCCAGGACATTCCACCCTTATTCCTGTTGATCTGTGAGGAGAGAATGAACTGCTCCCACTGGCTTCTCACAGGGCACTCAAGGCTCCTGGGCACACCCCAACTCCAAACCCCAGGCATGAACATGGAACTCAGCTGCATTCTAGTATTTTCTGGAAAACCCTTCACACTCATCATGAGCTGATCTGTCCAGCTGATCCTCTCACAGCCACAGGCTTGGAGAAGGGAATGTCAACACGTAGGGCAATAAGGGAATGCATTTGCTGAAGACTCACTGTGCGTGGGCCAATGTCAGTTTGTGAGCTAACATGGCATCTTCATTAAGGCTACCAGCTCCTGGAAACCACACAGCCCTAGGACCAAATCCCAGACCTGCCTCTTCCTGGTCGGGGGACCCCAGGCACCTTCCTAAGTCTCAGTTCCCTCAGCTGAAAAACGAAAAAAGCCTGGGTGCTGGGGCTCAGTGGTTGAGCATCAACCCATGAACTAGGAGCTGGTCTTCCCTTCCCTGTCAGGCACATGCACGGGTTTCGGGCTCGATGCCCAGTAGGAGGCATGCAGGAGGCAGCCAATGATTCTCTCTCATCATTAATGTTTTATCTCTCTCTCCCTCTCCCTTTCTTTCTGAAATTAATTTTTTTAAAGTGGAAATTTTTTTAAAAGTCTCCCCCTGAGGCCAAAACCCTGAGAATGCTTCCAGAATGGAGTGAGACAATGCAGCTCAGCTCGAATCTCAGTAATTCTTCAGGAGACAGAGGCTATTCTAAGCACTGCTTGTTCCCTTCAATCCCCACCAGCCTAAGAGGAAGGGCCAAGGTTTCCGCAACTGCTGGGGTCACAGCTGGTCACAGCAGCCCAGAACTGTCCCTGGCACCCCCACCACCACCCCTACTGGGAGAACCCAGCTTCTTTCTAGGACCTGGCTGCCCCCCTGCCTGGCACTGCCACCAAGATGACTGTGGCCACTGCCAGAACCTGTTCTGCAGGGATGGCCAGCTCCTGGCTGGTCCGGTCCCTTTGGAGTTGGATGCTTTCGCAGTTGTCTACAAGAGAGCTGGATGGAAGCCAGAGGGCAGGCCGGCCTCTCTCTCTGGGTCATAGCTAACCCACCCCAGGCCCTACCAGTGAGACACCTTTCAGGGTATCCCGCTAGCTCTACAAGGGAAGATCAACAGAAGGGCCTTCCTCCAGGCTCCCCCAGGAGAGGTGGAGACTGAGGGTATAGGGCCGGGCACCCCACGCCTGCACTCAGGAAAGCTGAGCTTCCATGGGTTCGGAGAACTGAGAGTCAGGCGCCGAGGCTCCAGGAGGCAATGCCCAGTCCTCGGCCTGGGGTTAGAGAAGCGGAGCATCCGCCTCCTGGATGGGGGAAGGAAATCCGGGGAGTCTCGGGCGGGATGGAGAAACCGGTGCCCGCCGAGTTCCAGCAAAGCTGAGCGGCCGCAGCCGAGGCTCAGAACGGGACCTCGCTGCCCGAGTCGGAGGAGCTGGCGGGGCCGGCTCGCGGTCGGAGTTCGGGACCTCCGAGCACAGCCTGGGTCCGGGAAGGCCGTCGGGAGCCCCGCCACTCCGTGTCGGGGAAGCTGGTGCCCACCCGCCTCCCGGGTTCCAGGAGCCCAAATCCCCAAAGCTGCGAGGTCAGCACGGGAGTTCGGGACAGGGAACCCGGGTACTCCGCCGCCCGCCGCCCGCCGCCCGCGACCTCACCTGAGCCACCCCAGCCCCCGGGGGCTGCCATCCCGGGGCGGGGAGCGCCGGACGCCGGCGGGCGCGGCGGAGCAGCCAGGGCACCAGCGCCCGCCGCTGTCACTGCGGTCTCGCTCCCTCGCGGCGCCGCTTCAAACCCTTGCGCGTCAGCTGACTCGTGCCCGGTCACGTGCCCAGGGCGCCCTGGGAGGCACGTGACAGGATGCGACCCCGGGGCCCTGCGCCGAGACCGCGCCTGCCATCGCGGAGTGCGCGCGCACCAACGCGGGCGCCGGGCGGCCGAGGGCGGTCGCGGGGCCCTAGCGCCGACGGGCGAGCCAGATGCTGCGACATGGGCGGGCTCCCTGTCCTGCCTGCGTCCTGCCGGCATCTTGACTTCCATGTCCGCGATGTCCAGCGATGACCCTACATCTTTCTAAGGGTTGTTTCCCTCCATCCTCCCAGAAATTCCTGGATTGCTCTCAAATCCTTCCTCTCCGGCCCCTCTCATGACCTATCAGCAAATCCTATTTCACTTCCTAATTATATCCCAAATAGGCCCACTCATTCTCACTTTTATAGCTCTCAGCCCAGAGTCCCCACCATTCCTGGCCCGGACCACTGCAGCAACCTCCTCTCCGATCTTAGACTCCCACTCCCGACCCCTCCCATTACACCTCCATCAGCAGCCAGACCGTCTTCAAAGAATAATTCCTATCAGTCCTTCCCCAGAACCTGCTGGCGACTTCCCGTTTCTCTGAGATGACAAACTCCCTGCAGCAACCTACCAGAGCCTTCTGGTCCGCCGCCACCTCCTCCTTAGTTCATCTTTCTTTTTTAAAACATTTATTGGTATTGATTTCAGAGAGGAAAGGAGAGAGAGATAGAAACATCAATGATGAGAGAGCCCACAACCCGGGCCTGTGCCCTGACTGGGAATTGAACCATGACCCCCTGGTTCATAGGTTGGTGCTCAACCACTGAGCCACACTGTCGGGCCCCCAGTTCATCTTTCAATGGCCCCAGAGCCTCTGAGCACTCTTGCCCTGGAGAATAATGGTTAAGAACACATGCTGGGGGGTGGGGGCAGACAATTCAGGTTAAAATCTAGGCGCTGCCAACTGCCATTTCTTGTCTTCCAAAGAGCCCCTTAAAGTCCATGTGCCTCGGTTTCATTTGCCGAATGGGGATGCTGGACCATAGTTGCCTGCTTCGTGGAGAAAATGCAAGAGCGTAGCACAAGGCTGGGCAGTGCTGATGATTAAATTGGTGGTCCTTCCTGAGAAAGCTGCCCCCGAACTAAATCAGAGTCCTTTATACATTTAGAACGTACCAGACCATGTAATTACTGTTTAAATGTTTCCAAATGTGGTGCCTGTGAGCTCAATAGATGTTTATTGAATGCATACATGAGCAGCCTTTGTCCAGTGGTGAACCTATAGTGTGGACTTCGAGGGGCAAGGGGTAAGTTAGGGGAACAGACAAGGCAGGACTGCCCATGGCTTCTTATCTGCCTCCATTATCAGCCCCCTAACTTCAGCACACCGGCCCCCACCATCAGATAAACCAAAGGGAAGGATGCTCTCCGACCGGTGACCAGGTCTGGGGGAGCAGAGTGGTAACTGCTCGGATGGGGGACGCTGGGAAGCTTGGAGGATGTCAGGGGGGAGCCAGAACATTAGGATTCCGGATGTATGGCTGGCTCAGGCCACACCTTCCGTTTCGAGGAGCTATGCATTAAGGGAAAAAAACCGGAGAACCATGAAACAGAGCGAGCAGGCAGTGGGAAGATTTTACTAACTGCACAACACACAACTTCTCCAGGCCTCCATGGGTAATGGCACCCCTTTCAGCCATCAGGCCCCAGCAGTGCCCCTCGCTCCTGCACCCTTTCGGGATTCTCACAGGTAGGGAGGGCTGAGCTGTCGTGGGTGGGAGGGCTGGGGTCAGGGCGGGACTCAGGGTTGGGGTTGGGGTTGGGGCTGGGCACAGGATCTGGGTCCGAGCTGTGACCAGATCCGTGGCCAGGGCTGGCCACAAGGTCAGGATTGGCATCATGACCAGGCTTAGCGTCAGAGGACTTGACAGGATCAGGGGTGAGGGCAGATTCAGAGCCAGGGCCAGGTTTGGGGCTGGGATTGGGGAGGGAGCCCAGCACAGAGCATGGGTCCGTGCCAGAACCAAGCACAGGGGCAGCATCAGGACCCGGGAGGGAGACCTGCCCAGGCCGCAACATCGAAGCAGGGCTAAGGCCCAGGCCAGTGGCAGCAGCTGTGGCTGCCGCGGCTGCCGCAGCTGTGCCCTCGTGCACCCTCTTGTGCTTGGTGAGGCTGGAAGCTTGGCCGAAGGCCTTGCCGCAGAGCTGGCAGCGGTAGGGGCGCTCTCCGGAATGCACGTGCAAGTGCTGCAGCAGCGCGGAGCTCTGCCCGAAGGCCTTGGAGCAGTGGGGACAGGCGTAAGGCCGCTCGCCAGTGTGGATGCGCAGGTGATGCTGCAGGTTGGAGCTCTGGCCAAACGCCTTGCCGCAGTGGGGACAGCGGTAGGGGCGCTCGGCCGTGTGCGTGCGCTGGTGCTGCAGCAGCGCGGAGCTCTGCCCGAAGGCCTTGCCGCACTGAGGGCACGGGTAGGGCCGCTCGCCCGTGTGCGTGCGGAGGTGCTTCAGCAGCGCCGAGCCCTGCCCGAAGCCCTTGGCGCACACCGGGCACTTGTGCGGCCGCGGGCCTCCGTGCGTGCGCAGGTGCTGCGCCAGCAGCGAGCCGTGCCCGAAGGCCTTGCCGCACACGGGGCAGTGGTGCGGCTTCTCGCCGCTGTGGCTGCTGCGGTGCTTGAGCAGCGTGGAGCGCCAGCCGAAGGCCTTGCCGCACGCTGCGCACTGGTAGGGCCGCGCGCCCGTGTGGATGCCCCGGTGCTGGGCCAGCGTGGCGCCGTGGCTGAACGATTTGCCGCAGTCGGGGCAGCGGTAGGGCTTCTCGCCGCTGTGGGTGCGGCGGTGCTGGCTCAGCCCCGAGCTGCGCCGGAAGGCTCGCCCACAATCGGGGCAGGAGAAGGGCCGGGGCGGGCTGGCGGGTGCCGGGATCACCGCCGGGCTGGTGGCCAGGCCTTCCGGGGTGGCAGTAAGGCTGGAGGAGAGGGGGTCCAGGTCTGGGGCTTCTGGGGGACTGAGGGTGTCGCTGTTAGGGTCAAGAACCAGGGGCACAGGGCCAATGACGTCTGGATCGAGATCAAAACTTGAAGACATGGGGTCGAGATCTTGGGGATCCATGGCACCGGTCCCCAAGATGGAGCCTGGAGTTCCCGCGTCAGGGTCCAGATCATCAGAGACGGGCTCTAGCTCTTCATAGCCGGGGTCCACGTCTTCAGAGACAGAGTTGAGGTCCTCCAGGTCGGGCTCTGGGTCTTCGGGGCTGGGGTCCGGGTCTTCTGAGTCTGAGCCAAGCTCTTCGTAAGCAGGCCTCGGGCCTTTGTGGCCCGGGTTCCGGACCAGCACCGAGCGCCGCATCCCAGCTGTGGAGGTGCCAGCTGCTTCCAGGGCAGGATCTGCAGGGCGAGGACAGGGTGGGCAGAGGTAGGTTCTGGGGAGCAGGGGGTCTCTTTTGGAGCCTGGGCAGGGATGGGATAGGTGGCCAAGCTGTGCCCCCAAACCCACTTCTGAGCATACACACGGATCCTTCTTGTTCTAGGCCGCAGGCAGACTTGTGACTCGCCCAGGCCGGGGCCAGAGGAGAGACCCTGGTGGGACATGCGGGGCCCTCCCTTCTCAGCCCCACACCTGGATGGAAGTCATGGGATCTGGCACTAGAGGTCTCCAGTGCCCAACTCCATGGCTCGGCCCCTCTCTCCATCCTGGACTCCTCCTCTGCGGGAAGCTTGGGTCCTGTAGAGAGAGAGTCCTGGGTTCCTACCCCTGGTGGGGAAGAGGGTGGGTGTCCGGGATCCTGTGCTTGCTTCTAAGTACACGGCCTGAATTCTTGTCCCACAGTCGGAGGTGGCATATTTGGGAGTTTCTGGTGGAGTGGGGGACCTCTGGCTCAAGTACTAGAGAGAAAGCATCCTGAACTTAGAAGCCTGTATCTGGGGGATGAAGGGGGGCGGCAAACAACATCTGGTAGTGCTCTGGGGGTCTTGGGGGAGTGCAGGGGACCTGGCTCACTTCCTGGGGAAGAGACCGCCTCACAGTTCCGGAACACCTGTGTTCCCGAATGCCAGTTCCTACAGCTGGCAGGTGGGGAGTAACATGTGGGGCCCGTGGGGTGGGGGGAGACCATGGATCCCAAAGTCGGGGTACCTGTTGCCCAACTGGATAGAAGATTCTGAATTCTAACCCCTAGCTGGGGGCTGGGCAGAAACAATACCCGTGGCCCCTCTGGGTGACTGGGGGACCCCTGAGCCAACTCCCAGGAGGAGGAGACTCCCGAGTGAGTGCCCGGCGGTATGGCTGGGGTGTGGGGACGTGTGTCAGGACACTGCTGTCCCTTCGTGGAGGAAAGACCCTGAATTCCAGGCTGGCGGTAGGGAAAGGGGTGGAGAAACAACAGCAGGGACCCTGCTGGGAGCAGGGGGAGCTCGGGATGGCCTGGTGGGAGGTGATGCCTTAGCTACCCACCCATGGCTGGGTATTGGGGGGACCTCTCCTGGGGAGGGAGACATCCTGGCCATAACCCATAGCTGGGGGTGGGTAAACAAGTGGGGTGCAGAGTTCCTGGATCACCCCCTCTACCCAGAGCCCCAGGTTGGAAGGTGGGGGGACAACGCCCAGGTCCCTCCTGGGTTCCTGGATCACCTCCCGGGGAACCCCGACGCTGGGCTCCCAGCCTGGAGAGTGAGGAACAATAAGGGGTCCTGGGGGCGAGGACCCGGGTCCCCTCTGTGGGAAGGGCCGGCAAACTCCCAGCCCGGCTCCGGGCGGAGAACAATGCCTGGGCCCTGCTGGGTTTCGGGGGCAGAGGGTCCGGATCGCCTCGGGAGGAGGGGCGCCCTGAACTCCCGGCCCACAGCGGGGTGCCCCATCCTTCCCTCCCGAAGGCGCCCAGCTCGGCCGGGCCCTCCCTGGGCCGCAGCGCTGGTCTGGGCGCGCTAGGCCCGCGGGCGGCCGGCCCCTCGCGCGGGGCCACGACCCTGCTCCCCGGGCCCGCGCGGCGGCGTGCGCGGCGGGGGCGCACCGCGGGGCCGCCCCCCGCACCGGGGTCCCCGGCCCACCCCACCCGGGCCCTCGTCCGCCGACCCGCTCGCGGGGAAAACTCACCCGGCGCCCCCTCGCC